CATAACAGGTTTACAGAGTACTGGAAAATCCTATTTACGCAAGATCTTGTTGGCACTATGCTATGCTAGCTCCCAGCCAAAAAATTAATTGCCAGGAGAATGAAGCAATGTTTTAATGCCAGGCCATATGTCTCAGGCTATCGAATGAGAACAGTAATCCAAAGTCATCTTTAAAATATGTGCCTCATAATGCAGTCTTTATAGAGATTTCTACCTCCTATCTCCTTTTTAAGCAGAGGTTGGATGACCATCTGTCATGTATGATCTAGTTGAGATTCCTGCATTGCAGGGGATTGGACTTAGATGACTCTTAGGGTCCCTTCCAACTCTACAATTCTGTGAACTACTGGAAAGTGAAAGCACAGGTGAACATATTTTTTTGGAAAAATTCATACCCATATAGAGGTGATCCTCTCACCTATCTTCTAAGAAGTTTCAGTACGCTGTATGTGCATTTTGGATTTGTTTGCATGTTGGGTTTCCCTACTTTTTAAATTGCAGTTTGCTCACATACCTTGTACTTAATTCATTTAGCTTGCATATGACACCACAAAGTAGACATATACTAGTATCTAGGTAAAGGGACCCCTGACCATTAGGTCCAGTCGTGGACGACTCTGGGGTTGAGGCGCTCATCTCGCTTTATTGGCCAAGGGAGCCGGTGTACAGCTTCCGGGTCATGTGGCCAGCATGACGAAGCCGCTTCTGGCGAACCAGAGCAGTGCATGGAAACGCCGTTTACCTTCCCGCCGGAGCAGTACCTATTTATCTACTTGCACTTTGACATGCTTTCGAACTGCTAGGTTGGCAGTTCTGGTATCTAGTATCTAGCATCTAGTTGCCCTCTAATGATGGGTAGCAAGATAAACGTGAGATTTTTTGCAGTTTATGGGATGCTGGAGTGATGCCTATACCATTCTAAGTGAAGTTATTCTGGTATGTGGAAAAAGCATTCACAATTTGTGGGAAAAGCATTCGCACATCAGCAAAAACTTTGTAAAGCAATATATGGGCACCTTTTAGACGTGCTGGGCAGAAGAGTGTCTCATTTGTTTATATAGGTTGCAGACTGCAGCTCATATAAAAGATCACTATCTTCTAGCAATATTGGTAATCTTATAGCAGGATTAATTTACTGCATCACATTCATGGAATTTGCCTATAGATAAATTATTACAAATTTAAATTCTAATGAAAATGACTTTTTAATTATTGGGGGGGGGGGGAAATGCATGTATAATGCATAACTTTGTAGGTTTGTGCTTTTTCCGTTATTGATTATGCTTCCTTTGTTTTAATTTTGCTAAACAGTTTTTAAACATTATAATGTTCTCCTATAGTGATTTTTCTCTTCATCCTTTTATTTTCATTTGAAAAGGAAATATTTAAGGCCCAAGCCTTAATGAATGTTAAACTGTAATGGAAAGTTTAAAAAGTACATAGGGCAGCAACAATGCTGTGAAATAAATTCATTAAAATCAATGTTATTTCAATGAATACTAATTGAATTATTAATGCTTGGATCAGGTTTTCCCCCCTCTGTTTGTGATTATTCAGCTTGTTGTCTATTGAACCTGTATCTTTGTTAATGAAAACCCTGTATTGTGAGTATAGATTGTTTGGAGACTTACCACTCCTGCCTGCCCTACCTTCTCACAGTGATAGTGAATTGGGCATTCTTTCCCTTCCCCTATTCAGGTTTTTACTGTAAATGGGGAATGCGGCCGCGCATTGAATTGTGAGACATTTGCAGCACAACATGGAAACTTTCTCCAACTTAGAACAAAGATTTGTGTCTTACTGCTTGAGGGCACATTGGTATAGAGATGCAAAGCTTCTTTTTGAGGAGACCAATTTGGGTCTCGCTTCAGTAGCAGTTGCATTGTGCTGTCAGGCTGCAATTCTGTGTAGCTCTGGATTACTTTTATCCATGAAGTGTTAACAGAAATACACCTGTCATCTCTGAATTTCAAGCTACCACAAAACAGCTATTCTTCTCTGGATTCTTCAAAGTTCTAGAGCTTTGTGTCTTCTATCCTTTCCCTTTTTGTATACAGCCGTAGGTTTGGAACAACGCGCCCCCCCCATGCTGCATCTGATAGGTGAAGGGGTGGCAGGGCCCTGTTGTTCCATGCTGTAAGAAATTGATGTAATTTTAAAATTTTAAGACTTCTGCTGTTCTAGCAAAACAAAAACCCTCTTGTATGGTTTTTGTTCTTGCATTTTAGATGACACAGACAAATGCCACATGCACGATGTACGTAGAACAGCTATTGTAACAACAGCTCAAGTATGTAATCATCTTTTCTCCTAGAAATTAACCCACAGTGTCCAGAAAGTCAAAATAGTGTGAAATTGAAAGTGGGTCCCAAGAGTGGTAACTCGCCAACAGGACACTGGCAAATGATCAATTATTTCCTGGACTGCTATACAAGAGCTACAGTTCATATTTCTAGGACCTCTGGGGAAAGAGAGAGCTGCAGCATGCCTAGAGGAAACTATAGTTGCTATTTCTTTATGGCACACACATTCCTGTTAGCATAGTATGTCTGTTGAAAACAACTGGGTGCTATTTTTTGCCAGAAATGAAATTAACATGTCACTGTATATTTACAAGCTGGTATTTTTAGCTCGTTTATCAAATTGTAGCTTCGTGTTTAAATTGAGCTTTTACATTTAATTCACACAGTGTAAAAATAAATCATTACATGCTGCTTTGTTTGCCATCTCCTTTAATTTCATGCTTTAGAGAAGGCTTGTGAAATCCCAGCTGTGAGGCTTTGCCTTTGGAGATCACCGCAGTCCTTAAACCTCATTCACATATGCAGACTGTGGTGTGGTAGGTGCTTGAAACAGAACTGAGTGCTGAAACATTTGTGTCAGGTAGGCTGCTATGACAATTAGGACACCTTTTGCCATGCTGCCATAGGGTTGCCACATTTCAAAAAGTAAAGTTCCTGACACCCAGATTGTTGAGCTTTTTGGGAGAAATATCCCCCCCCCCCCCAGTGATTTTAAGCTTTTGGAGCTGTTTCCGCTGCTTTTTCCATTGCGTTGCCATACATATGGGTTTTCCCTGACATTCTGCCCATTCAGTAAAATTCTCCCCTTACGCCATTTTTTTCACCTGAAATCCAGGACGTGTTAGGACGTTTTCGTGACATATGGCAAGCCTATGCTACCACAAATGTTTCTTTGTGGTGGTGTGCTGCTATGCCAAAAAAATGTCGGAGTGTGTTGGCATACCTAATGAAAGAGCTTATGCCCGGTTCGATATCAAGCAGTCACTGTTACAGGTGTGAATTAGACCTCAGAACCCCTAATAATGAATAATAAATGAACCTTAATAATACATTTTTTTTAAATAAACAAAATAACAGTAAGTTCTTGGGCCTTGCAACTAATAGGGCTTTGGGAGATAATATGGCTTATGAAGTTCTGGCTTGTGTTTGTGGGGCTTTTTTATGTGGCTAAAGTGAGATAGCTGTCTTAGTATACTGGGAGAGGCAGCATTATGTGAAGCCTAATAGTTTTAGGGAGGGAGTTTATGGAGATAAAGAAGTAGGTGGGTCCTTCATTGGAATGCATAAGGAACAGAAACTGCTGCCTTATACAGAGTCAGATTGCTTTGAGAGTGCAGCTGACCATGACCCCCAATGCAGCCAACCATCTCTTTGTGGTACTGCCTTTCAAGACAGTCTGGAAACTTCAATTAGTTCCAGAGGGGTAGCCATGTTAGTCTTTTGCATTAAAAACAGCTAAGAGTCTTGGGGCACCTTAAAGACAAACACATTTATTACGGCATAAGTTTTTGTGGACTACAGTCCACTTCTTCCGATGTAGTCTATGAACAATTCTGTCTTAATAAAGTCTTCTTAAGTTGCTACAAGATTCTTTGCTGTTCAGTTCAAAATGCAGTTTCCAGATTGGCATTTAGGAGCCCCAGATCAGATTGCTCAATTCAGTGGTCACTGAGCTGTATTTAAAGTACAGTTTTAGCCTCTAAAATGCTGGCTTTAGCCTTTTAAGTGGCAAATGACTTTAGGGCAAGTTACCTCAGGGAGCATCTGCTCCCTCATAAGCCTCGAAAGGTCAGCAACAGAGGATCTTCCCTAAATGAGATTAAATTGGCTGGCTGGGTCTCTGAGACAGAGCCTTTTCAGTGGTGGTACCTCAAGTGTGGCATGCCATGCCTGTGGACATAAGATGCACACCTTTCTTTTTAGTCTTAAGGCATTTGTAGAAGACCTTTTTATTTTGGCATGCTTGGTTTCTAATCATAGCTGTCAACTTTTCCCTTTTCTTGCGAGGAATCCTATTTGGAATAAGGGAATTTCCCTTAAAAAAAGGGAAACGTTGACAGCTATGTTTCTAATCTTCCAGTTGACTTTAGTAATTCCAATTAATATATTGTTAGTATTTAAGACACATACTGTGTGTTTTGTTTCATTGCATATTTTTACATTTTTAAGACACTTTGTACTGTATATCCTTGATGAAAAGTGAGCTATCAGTAACCATGGCCTCCCAAATGGGAGCCTTGCATTGAAGAGAAATGGATGGCTGCCTTCACCCCACCCTCACTGCCTTCATACTCAGTCACTTTCTTTTCAGCTTGTTTTGGATAGTGGCATCCTCATGCTATATTGAGGCTCAGGATTCTGGGGTTTTTTTGGGGGGGGGGAGCTGAGCTCACACGAACTAGTCCACTATAACTTTCCTACTGTTCAGAGACAGATCTTCCAAAGCACATGTGAGACCAAGACTATTTATGCACTTCAACATCTATCCCACAAAGTATTGAGATTGGAGAATCCAGGTAAATTGTAAAATAAGATTACAAGCCTGACCTGTCAGCCACAACAGACTTCTCCACAATGCCCTTTGGTTGGGGGTGCTGCTTCAGTCAGGGCACCTCATGTAGATCCCACTTCATTTCAGATAAAAATCCTTCTAAGGCATCTCCCTGGAATATGGGGCTTGTCCACATTCACTACCAATCTACTTGACCAAATAGCTCAGTTGGTAGAGCATGAGGCTCTTAATCTCAGGGTCGTGGGTTCAAGCCCCACATATGCAGGCAAAATATTCCTGCATTTCAGGGGTGGGCTAGATGACCCTCGTGGTATCTTCCAACTCTACAATTCTACGATTCTATGATCTAGTCCAATATCCTGCTTTCTGCAGTCCCTAATCAGATGCCCATATGACTGGCAAGCTCACATGCAGGCTTTTGCTACATTGCTTTAGCTTGCCACACCTGTCTTCCTCATATATTACAGTATTGTATTACTGATATGCTTTATTGTGGTTGTGATTTTAGTTTATGTAAATTTACATGATTGGGATGGAAGCCACAGTAATATTGGCTAAAAATCTTGAAAATAAATAAATGTGTAGGATGTAAGGGCAATAGCCCTCTCCCTCAGTTGTTTTCTGGCAACAGGTATTCAGAGGCATGTTTCCTCTGATACTAGAGGTTATCATGGCTGATAACCTTGTTATCCATTAATTCAGTAATTGTGTGTTAATCATAGGTGGTTTGGAAACATTTCAAAATAGTGTGGAGGGGGCTAGTTAACATCCTTGCTTTTTCTTTGTTTTGGTATGCAAGCCTCAAGACCCTTGACTTTTTTGCACAATTCCTTTTGCAATATGAATTTATTAGCATGCTGGAGTATGTCTCCCTAGGTTGACAAATACTTTAATAGAATAGGTCTTAAGTATGAGCACTATAAACAGTTTAGTGGAACATTAAAAAATCATAACACAATTAATAGTTTAATCTCTATATTACTGAATTATCATTAGTCTTTATGTATTTTAGTACCTATATGTGTACCAGAGATTAGAATGTAAAATAAATGTAAATTTCAAGTGACAAGTTGAGTAGAAGTCAAGGACGTTGTAGCTCTGGTTCCCACCAGCACCACTGCCCCATTTTCTCAGAATACTAAGCTGCTTGTAAAAGCTCAAACAGAAGACCCTTTGCTAAGCTAAGAGAGCATAAATTCAATCCTACCAGCTTTATAACAAGAGTCTTCTCCATTTTCAAAGGAATGAATTCATGACACTTCTTCTGAGAGTCTATCTTCCATGTTTTCAGTCTGAATGCTATCTCCACATGGTGGATTTTCCTCAAGTGCCTATGTGATGGAAATTTTGATACGTAGTTTATAAGGTTGTCTTGCTTATCCTCTTCAGATTGCCTTTTCTACAGGATGAGCCTGAACAGTGTTTTCACTTCAGGGGACTCCTGTCAAAGAATGGTTCTTATGGTTTCTAGTCAGAATTCCTCATAGCACAGAACACTTTTTTTTAACCAGTTGCTGCACCTTCCCAACTCGAAATTAGGAGTTCAGATCACAAGGACCTTTACACCTGAAGTCTTTGGCCTTGCAATTTAAAATAATAACTCCACAGGATTGCTTTTGCTCTTGCAACTTTCAAACCTACCTTCATTTTTCTGCTAGAACTATATTGTGAAAGCTTAACAATGCTTTGCTGTTGGAGAATGACCGCTACCAATTATGGGCAGTGCCCTTCATTATCTCTTCCATATATTGTGTTTTCACAAAGTTGATGGACATTCTCCTCGCTGAAGTATCCAGTTTTTGCTGATAACTTGATAACACAATTAGATATGTTCAAATATGTGAGGAAACTCTTTGTCAAATCTTCAGGTCTATTTAGGTTGGCTCTCATAGAAGTATTCTCTACTATCAAACGAACTGCCTTAACCAACCTAGGCTAGTTGAACAATAAATGAATCTTGCCTGTCTTCAACATGACCCTTTCCCAATGGAGTCCTGTAATTTGTCTCCATCACGACAGACTCATTGTAAGGCCACCAAGCTAACAATAATCTCTGGCTTGGCTTTTGATGTGTTTGTTTTGCAAAGTATACCATCATGTTGACTATGGAAATCACTTTTAAAAGATTCATGTATATTTTTACCATCGTTTTTTAAACCTAAACTCCAATCACAAATCTGTTTTCCCTAGTTACTTTGTTCCTTCCTTTCTTGCAGCTGTAGAGATCCTCAAACTGAATTAAGACTGCATTGCTGGAGGAGGCAGGTCCTTTCCTCTGTCATTTTACTGATTTAAAATACCGTATTTTTCGCCCTATAGGACGCACCGGCCCATAGGACGCACCTAGATTTAGCTTGCTGAGATAAGCCTTGCCCTCAGAAGCATATGTGGAAACCTACTTATCAGCTTGTAAACATAGAGTAGGGAAGCTGTATTGAGCATCATGTTTGCTAACCATGGTTAACTGAGATAATGCAAACCATCATGTACGAAGCCGAGTCAAACTGATTTGCAGTATATCCCCATGTAATGCTTAACAATAGTGAAGGAAAAATAACAATGGCTAATGGTTATGTGTGCACAGGGCTAGCATGTATGGGCACCTGTTCTCTCTTGGGCAGCATTAGTTTAGTGAAGTGTAAAATGGTTTATTATTATTATTTATTAAATTTGTATACAGCTGTTCATCCAAAGATCCCAGAGTGGTTCACAACAGAAAAATACAAAATGAGAATACAAACTCCATAATAAAACAAAGACCAACCAATAACTACCCCCTTCCCACAAGCATATTTAAAAAGCCATAGAATGTTAATCAGCTGAACACCTGGTTGAAGAGAAACGTTTTTTGCCTGGTGTCGAAAGATATGTAATGAAGATGCCAGGTGAGCATCCATGGGGAGAGCATTACACAAGTTGGGAGCCACCACAGAAAAGCCCCTTCTTCTGTTGCCACTCTCCAGTGACCTCTCATGGAGGAGAAATACAAAGAAGGGCCTCAGATGATGATTGCAAGGTCATATGTGGAGAGGCGGTTCTTCAGGTATTGCGGTGACAAGCCATTGAAGGCTTTATAGTTTTGAATTGGGCCTGGAAACTAATTGGTAGCCAGTGCAGTCGGGCCAGGATCAGTGTAATATACTTCTTATCCCTGAGAACAACCTGGCTGCTGAATTCTGTACCAGCTGAAGTTTCCAAACTCTCTTCAGAGGCAGCCCTACTTCAGATACAGTGTACAGATACACTGAAGCCAACAAGCATCGGCAGTCTGCAGAGAAATACTTCACTGCCTGAATAAACTGTCATTTGAAAGATGCACGCTCAGTTTAATGCCATACCAGTCTTTCTCTCTTCTCCTTACACACACACACACACCCTGACACAATCCTTGGCAAGCTGTAGCCTGATTAACCAAGGACAAAAAATAGAAGGAGATGCATCACCCTGTCTTCTATTGGCCTATTGCTGCTTAGACAATTTTTCACACGAGGATAATATCTCTAATCTTTGGATTACTGGTAGCCTGTTTGGCTTGGTCTCTTCTTGGCTCTTTGCCAGCTAAAAACCCCACTTCCATGTTAAAGTGGAACTAATTAATTCTGAGTTAATGGTGACTAAATCTTGACAGGGGAGCAGGCCAGACATTTGACATATTACTGAAACACTCTGAACCAGTTAATGCTGGTGGTCACTCTCTTCCTGGAAATACTTTTTGTATCTCATATTCCAAATGACTTCATAGCACTTTTTCTTCAACGAGTGGGGGGACTAAATTTTGTCAACATTTTCCCTTAAAAGTGTTTGCATATCGCATGTCACATTTCATCACTTCCGATGCAATCTGATATGAAATGCTCATGGTTTTAAAACATATGAATAACTAGATTATCACTTCATAGATCAGCAATTCCTTTTTTTTTTTAACAGTTTGATCCTGTAAGGAAACTGGTTTATAATGGCATGCTAAAAGTTATCCAGATTCTGAATTGTGTCACTGCAGGAAATAGTCTGAAAAAGAAAAGACAGGGTTCCTTTGAGCAGCACCAGATTCTGCGCAAAAGAAACTTATTTGGATAGTTGCCGCCATCTTGCTCTGCTTTGTGGAGATTCCCAGGGGTATCTGATAGGCTGCTTTGGAAGAACACCCTTCTTCTGATACAACATATGCAGTTACTTCATTCTGAAATACAGCTCTTACCATCATCATCACTGTGATGGAAGAAGCTGCAGATGGAGATCTTTGACCTTCCTTTGAGTTCCTTAAGGAGCTACAGGTTTTTAGGTTCTTACTCTAATTTGAAGAATGTTTTCAAATGTATCCTCTATGGCCTTGATCCAGATTAGTCCAGGGTGCAATCCAATGCCGAGCATGAATGAGGCTGTGGAAGCTGCTGTATAAATATGACATTTACCAGTGTCTCGTCTCTATTTACATTAACATTACCTCCTTGACCCAGGTTACTTTAAAGCCAAATGGTATCCCAGAAATAGCCTAGATCAGCCAGAGTTAATATATTTGAATCTGCGCACAGTGTGCAGGGTATGTTCTGTTTTATACATGAACCTTAGTATTCTGTACTGTGTGGCAATCTTAGAATGAAAAAATGCTTGATAGCAATGAAGCACCCAAGCTGTTGAAATAAGCGTGATATTATTTTGGTGCATTGTATATTGAGGGATGAGGAATCATCTTAAGTGTTGCTGGAATCGGAAGATACACTGAGATTATTGAAATATACACAGACACTAAACATGCAGCCTGGTCCTGATCGTGTTTGTTCAGAAGTAAGTAGGTACAGTCAGACCTCATGTTACGTCCGCTTCATGATATGTTCTTTCAGGTTACGTCCCGCGGCGACCCGGAAGTACCGGAAAGGGTTACTTCTGGGTTTTGCCACTTGCGCATGCGCAGAAGTGCGAAATGTCATGCGCATGCACAGAAGTGGCGAATCACAACCCGCACGTGCGCAGATGTGCAGCTGTGGGTTGTGCTCTTTTCATTTTGCAAACGGGCCTCTGGAACGGATCCCATTCGCAACCAGAGGTACCACTGTACTATTCATTTCTGTGATGTAGCTCATTGGTAGAGTACATTGTATGCAGAAGGTCCCAGGTTAAATTCTCAACAGTCAATATAGATCATACTGAGGTAAATTGACTACTTCATAACATGCATTCTTACAATTGCAAAGAAATGGTTAAATACACTGAATGTGAATTGAGCAGTTGAAGTGAGGATCCTCCCTCCCTCCCCCCACCCCTTGATAATAG